GATCAGTACCACAGACATCAATCAAATCATCCTATTATTTATTTTCTTCACATTTTTAGATAATAAATGTAGGAATGGTATCAATCCTAAAATCAAACTTTAGAAAAAGGCAGCAAAGAAACATTTCTCTGATGGACCTAAACTCACACAGAAAACAAACCCTCACCCTACAAATCTTCTGATTTAACTCAAATTTAGCAGCTTTTTGTAGTCAACCCTAAAAAAAGGTGATGAAATGAGGCTGTGATTGCACCATGTAAAATAAATAAATAAATAAATAAATAAATAAACAAATAAATAAACGAGTACTTCAGTTATCATTGGCCACAGAAAATGGACTGTACTTGTATAGCACCTTTCTACCCAACCAGGACACTCGAAGCGCTTCACACTACAAACTGTGTCCTTATTTACCCAGTCACACAGCACTCTTTTAGGTCTCTACAAAGCTAACATGTACAATTATCTATGGAGACTTATCAGTGCCAATCACATTCATACACTGATGGGATACACATCAGAGGCATTGGGGTTAAGTATCTTGCCCAAGGACACAACAACTGAGACAGCTGGACGGGGGATCGAATCGGTGACCTTCCAGTTCCAGGATGACTCCCCTAACCACTCTGCCACAGCTGCCCCACGCAAAATTAAACAAGAGTGCAGTGAACCGGAGCACAGATCAGACCGTGGAGGAGAAAGTGAGAAATAGTAGTTAAAAAGTTAAGGCCATGTCTGAATYTTTTTTTAATCTGACATTTTTCTGCCATACAAATTCAGGTTTAAAGGTGGCCTATGTATGGGCCAGCACCACATAAACCAAACCACAACCAGGCTAGTTGTGGCATTGGCAGATCTGGACCACATAAACCAAGCTACAACTGGGCCATTTGTGTCATTGACATATTTGGGCCACTTAAACCAAACTACATCTGGGCCAGTTGTGGCATTAACAGATTTAGACCACATAACTCAAACTACAACCAGACTAGTTGTAGCATTGAAAAATTTTGGCCACATAAACCAAACTACAACCGAGCCAGTTGTAGCATTGATAGATTTGGACCACATAATTCAAACCACAACCACATTAGCTGTAGCATTGAAAGATTTGGACCACTTAAACCAAACTACAACTGGGCCAGTCGTAGCATTGACAGATTTGGGCCTCATAAACCAAACTACAACTGGGCCAGTTGTGGCATTGACAGATTTGGACCACCTAAACCAAATAACATCTAGATCAGTTGTGGCATTAACAGAGTTGGTCCACATAAACCAAACCACACTCAKTCCAGTTGTGGTAACAGGTTTGGACCACATAAATCAAACCATAGTCAGGCCAGTTGTGGCAATAAAAGTTTTGGACCACATAAACCAATGCCATCTTAAAACAGTGCCACCATTACCAGACCTGGCCCACATCTGGTTGACAAACCACTTGCCATCCAAGTTAGCCAAAAGTGCAAGCTGGACAACAGATCTGACAAACCACACAGAGACACAAACACCGTGCCACTAACTAACCAACCCCACTCTGAAAGTCTAACAAGATGACAAAAACCACTTACAAGCTCTGGCCAACAACCTCAGCCTTTCCAACAACTTATTTTGAGAGATGCAGATTAAAAATGTATGGAAGGAGTCCTGCTGGCTCCYCACAGCCACGCTGAACTACTCTTAACGACTAAGAGCAACTAAGGACAACTGGAACAGACTCCATCTTGACGAGGCATCCAGTTTTCTCTCTCGGTGCTGTGAGCTAATTAACAAATACCAAATGAGTAAAATATGCCTAACACACTTCTAGAGACATCATCCTCACACTTTACTGGGCTCTTAAAATACTTTAGCAATTAGAAAAAAAAGTACCAAATATCAGTTTCATCCATTCACTGCAGGCAAATCTTTGCAGAGTCTTTCAACATGGAAATGTCTTAATAATATATTCAAATGAAGCCTTTAGGTGTTGCTTTTGTTCTCTCCAGTAATTTATTCAGTCTTCACGTCACGTCGCACTGTACTTGTTGTTTCAGTGCATTCATTTCTAGTCACTAGTTTGCCAAAAGGACCATCAGTCAGATCTGGTACATTTTGTTCTCCATTCATACTGAATTTATCCGTTTCAATGTTTAAATCTGCAAGTATTCATCGACACACAGGCATTTTGTTTAAACTTTAATTTTAGGCTTCTTTAAAGTGACTTTAACAAAAAATAATATATATTTAAAGTGCCTGTGACATGCCTATCCATCCAATACAATAAGTTAAAGAAAACAACTTTATATTTAAGAAACTTGACATAATACACATCGTTTTACTCATTTTGTCACATAACTGTTATATCTTCTTTTGAATTTGGCTCAGCCAAAACAAAGCAGGAAGTGACATCAAAGGGGAACTTTAAGAAAAGGAACTCTGGTCTTTGTTTATTGAAACAATATTATTTGAACTCTGACAATTTTTCATCTYTCTCTGAAATTAACTCAAAATAATCTAAAGAAGCATCAGATTTTTTCCTTACAGTTTGTGATGTTAGACATTGCAGCAATGCGCTGTTCACATTTAGACATTCCCCTATGACATCATTTCCTGTTACTTCACATGAAAATATCTCAACRACTGTTCATCTTAGCRGGATGAATTTTTACTTGCAATATGTTATTAATGTTATCTTTCCAAAAATACATTCATATTTATTACAAAAATTTGATGCCACAGACACTTTAAGGTCTTGTACACAGATATCAATAATCCTTAAATACTTCATGTGCTTAAATTGAGGCAAGATTTTTAGCACGTTTATGTCCTGAGCGAATTACAGCAATTTACTTTATGAATTATTTCTAACAATCATATTAAAATAAAAGGAGTGAAATAATTTCTTATATTATCCTGTAGTGAGTAAACATTTTCTTTTCCAAATCTAAATTGGGGCACTCCAAGGACAGATTTCACAGACTCCTGCTACCTATTTGTTTCCCATAAACATAAAATCGGTGTAATTTATCGTCATCTTCCCAGGATGAGGCTGAGAATTTAGATGACACAGCACCCCCCCCCACCCCACCCCCAACAAATTACCATATTCATCACAGCTGCTTTACATTTCCTTCAGCTGAGCTAATAGGCCATCATCTTGAATTAAAAGAAAATGATCTCCTACCTCAGCTGAGCAGAGGACCAGCTTTGACTCATACACAATTATTAAAAGTGGCATAAATCAGCTTTAGCGTACAACACGAGGGATAGTTTCTTCATAAAAAGTAGCATTTGGAATTGGTGCTATTTGGCGTGAGTTGCCGTGTAGTTGAGGGGCTTATAAGTTTCTGTTTCTGAGTCACTGAAAGGAGATTAAGGTAACGCCGAGAGAAAATGACAAGACGTAAGACACGTTCCAAGCTTGCTCAGCCTGAAAATGTTCATTTATGCACAGTAGATAGAATTTAAAGGCCTTGAAGTTCGTCTTACCTTCACTCAACGGGTCCAGCGTGTGAATCATCAGCTGAAAAATGCTGTTCCTCATCAGGCTGTTGTGCAGGGAAGCCGAACTACCCCCCCTCTGAAGGCGAGGCCTGGCCTACGAGAGAGGACACAAAGCTTCAGTCAGACAAGTTTTTTGTTTTAACAGATGCTCCTAAGACCAAAATACAACCATGTATTATAACTTGGCAAAGGACATTGTCAGTTAACAAATACAGACTGATTCAAAATTTGCAGGACACCCTTTTATTTTGATCCAAAATGGCGGCTTTCAAGATGGCGGCCATGATCTGGACATAGCCTAAAAGATAGACTGTGAGGGTACCAAGTGTAAAATATTTTTTAAAAAAATTACGTTAAAAAATGTCACTATGACATTTTTATTATTTAGCACACTTCAAGTCTTAAAAAATTTCCACTAAAATTTTATTGTTGATTAGCTCACTGTTCTTACATTTTGCTATTAAATGTTAAATGACATGTCTAAATGTTAAATCCTGAATCTAGATGTTCACATTTAAATGTTTCAGAATGGATTGCAGCCTTTGCCATTGGTGCTCGGCTTTTGTTATGACATCATCATCCTGCGACAAAAGCAATCACTAATGCTGCTAACACTGCTAATGCTGCTAATGCTGCTAACGCTTCCCTAAAAGACCTCAAACTTGCAGTTACGACCGGTGTCCGAGTTGCAAATCAAACTGCTGGACGACAGGTATTTTTGCATTAGCAGTGTTAGCAGTGTTAGCAGCATTAGCTGCGTTAGCGGTTGCTTTTGTCTCATGGTGATGACGTCATCAACAAAAGCCTTACACCAACAGGAAAGGCTGCATTCCATTCCAAAATTCTTAAACATAAGTTTTRTCATGGATCCACAACATTTAAGATATAATTTTTACATTTGGAGTTAGAATTTAATATTTTCACAATACATTTATAATTTAAATTGAACATTTAGTAGAAATTAACAGTGAGCTAAAATATAAAATGTTAGTGAAATTTTTTTAACTAGCATTTTACACTCCGAACGTGAGCTACACAATGAACGTCACAGTGACATTTTTTTTTACATTTGGCTCTCCAAATCCTCCCCCTTAACATGCTGGGTTATTCAGATATATAATTTTGTCCTGATACTTTTACTCACCTTRCGTGTATCTAAAAAATACTATATACATGCTGCTTACATAATATGAAATATTACTATAATAATAGWTGTGGTATAAAATTATTGATTTTACTCATTACAAAAAAGTCAATTATTCTGTTTAAAATCAAAGTCGCATTTTTAGCTGGTGAGAAAAAATGTTTTAAAATTTTGGTTTTTATTGTAAAAAGAAGTAAAACTGGACACCAACTYGTTTTAATTTTATATTAAATCTGAATTACTGCAGCTTCTTTTTTTGTAAGCACACTGTATTTAATTTTCATTTTAAGGAAAGGTCATTAGACGTGTGTATCCTTTCCTTGTTGTGCATTAACATCACTTTTAGTCACAGACTGAAGTTTCTGCATCGTTTGCTCCTCGTGAATACTCTGTGACCTTGGTGATGCGTCTCGTTAATCTTCTTTTCTGTTAAACCCCTAAGCGGAACCTGCAACCCAGTAAAAAAAAATAAAAAAATCATGCAGCTTCTTAAAAATATAAGCCCCGTCAGTCGAGACAGGCGCACTTTTTTGAAGCTTCCTTCTTCCGTTGGAGCCCCTTTCCAAGGTCACCCCACCCAACCTCCCTGGCCTGGCAGCTGAGGCTGAACTGTGGAAAAAAAAGTCAGGTGTTGTTGCAGGTGACAGCTGTTGGGGAGCGCGTCCACCTTTGGTTGCTCACAGGTGATGCGTAGGCGCCGGAGGTGTCATGTACTAATTCACAAGTCTATATGGGTGAGAGCAGGAGGTGAAGAATACAGTGTAGACCCTTAGGGGGGTGGGGGTTTCTGCTGCTTGGTTTCATTCTGCACGAAAGCTTTTAAAGGTCTATACGATCTTAAAAGTGAAACACACGTTTGTCATTTTCATGCTGCAACTAAAAAGGGGCTTCGGAAAACAGACGGCGACGCTTTCTGCGCCAAAAGAAGGCTGAGGGTCAGAAATGGCGGAGCGCACGTCTCRGTGACAGTGTGGTGGGAGAAACTCGCCAACGTCGACAGGAAGAAGAAAATGGGGACAAACACAGAAACGGACGGCAAAAGTGTCAATCAGTCGAAACCTACCGATAACTTGCCATCATCCTCAGGCGCCCCGGGACTYGCCTTCTCATCCAACACAAAGAGAAGAGGAAGTAAAAGGAGGGGAAGAAGAGAAAGAGAAAACAAGACATACATGTGAAGCATGCCACACGCAGACAAGACTAAAAATAAAAAAAAATAAAGACAATAGAGAAAGACATTACAGCACAGAAACGGTGATAACTGTGATGTGAGTGGACCAGACTCCAGGGACAGATTCCTCCTCACTGCTGAGCAGAATTCAGTTGTGTGTTTACATTTTTTTTGACATTTTTTCCAAACCGCCACTTCAAATGGTCGTTTAGATCAAGCATGTTGACTTATACCAGGATTTTTGGTGTTGCTTAATTCTCGAAAGACTTATTCGTTTATTCAAAAATAATCGCAACGTAATTTAATTTCTTGTGGACATACAGTACAAAACAAAGTTGTCAAAACTCCTCTAATTTTTTTAATATTTTGCTTCCAAGGAAGCCAGGCCTGTCTGTAACCTTCTAAAGTGGTTCTGATCAATAATTCTTCAGGCTTTTTCAAGGATCTCTTCAAAGTGTTGCTTTTTCACTTTTGGCTGCTTTTTCCCCTCCACTCATTTTCTGTCCAGTCCATGTCTGACCTTGGCAGCGTGTTGTTCAGTTTGTGTTCAAGATTAGGAAAAGAGGACAAGTGGAGCACAAAAGAAGTGTCGGGACTAAAAAGCCGTCTACAGCAGATTAACTGTAACTGAGGGTCTTGGCTTTGGGAAATAGAGAAAAAAAACCCAAAGATGATGTCATCTTTCAGTAGACCATCAACTGTATGTCAAGTCTTGAACCGTTAGCTCTGTAAATTACCTTGCTGATGTTAAAATAGTTAATCTCTAGTCTCTTTCAGTTGTATTGTTGACATTATTTATAGTTATTGATAAATGGTCACATTTTCTGTTATTTTGCACTTAAAAACACAAATTGTGTTCAGTAGAAGGTAATGGGCAAAATATTTTATACTATTGCGTTGTTTTATATTGTAGTTTCTTAATAGAAAACATTTTTATTTGCCTAAATTCATTGTCCTGTGTATTATCATAACCAACTAATACAAAATTATACCATGGGACATGATATTACAAGTAAAAAGTATTGGTATCTGTATCGTATTGACAAAACTAGCCCTGTGTTTTGGTTTTAGATCAAGTATTGACCACCTTTAGTTTCTGAACGGAGCGAGGTGGCCAGTGGGGGGTTGATGCCAATCCACCCCAATGCACCTTTGGGCCACAAACCAAAATAATAACAGAGCCAAAAGGTACACTGGCTTATACTGTATCAATAATGTGATATGATCTGAGGGACCACGTGGTCATGGGATTAAACAACAACCAGCAGATTGAACCCCACCAACACGAGGAGAACTCCACACAGAAAGACCCCAGGCCCAACCCAAGGCTTGAACCCCGGACCTTTTTGCTACGAGGCAACAGTGCTAACCACTAATCCGTAGTGTTGCAAACACGCTGCTTGATTCAGCTTTAAAATAACTGCACAAAAGRGTGAAGCAGCATGTCTTTCATCTAACTTTTAACAAAGAAAGGAAACAAGTTTGTTGTGCCAGTTTTTCCCGTGTTAACTTTGCCGCAGCGAACGTGTCCCATCACGCCAAAGAGACTCTTGTCTTTTAACACTCACTCCATTATCTGCCATCGTCTCAGCAGGCCTTTTTTTTGGCACGTACAACATTGTAACAGTTTATTTTTGAAACAAAAGACTTTTACCAACTGCCTGACTGAAGCACGCTCACTTCATCTTCAAAAAGAAGGGTGGTGGGGGGGAGGGGTGCGAAACAACAGCCGCTCAAGGCCTCCATTTCCAAATGCAAAGGAACAAAAACACAAAGCTTTTTGTTCAGATCTTAGAATACCGAGGCCATTGTTTCACTGCCTACACGGTTTCAGAGAGAAATGTGTAGAATGTGGAAGTACTGATAAGATCCCCCATTTGCCAAATAAAATTCAGAAAATAATTCAGTTTGATGTTGTGTTTTAAAAAAAAATGAAGGGCAAAAGCACAAATTACAAAAGGTCGACTCAGTGATTCATTTGCATGCTAAATAACTGGATCACAGTGAATACCAAATCCTTTTGCTAACAGCACAGAAAGTGTGGGGCGCCAGCGTGTTCTTCCAGTGTAAACGTCTGAGTGTGCCCATTTCATCCTGTTAAAACTTCTGATGGTGTGGTTCATTCCTGTTTATTCAGAACTTAATGTGGTGCTGACCAGTTTATCTGGTGAAAACTTCTGACTCCAGTTTATCTGGTGAAAACTTCTGACTCCAGTTTATCTGGTGAAAACGTCTGACTCCAGTTTATCTGGTGAAAACTTTTGACGGTGTTGTTGACTCTGACTTATCTAGTGAAAACTTTTGACAGTGTTGTTGACTCTGACTTATCTAGTGAAAATCTTTGACGCTGTTGTTGACTCTGACTTATCTAGTGAAAATCTTTGACGCTGTTGTTGACTCTGACTTATCTAGTGAAAACTTTTGACAGTGTTGTTGACTCTGACTTTTCTAGTGAAAATCTTTGACGCTGTTGTTGACTCTGACTTATCTAGTGAAAAATATTGATGATTTTGCTGAAAACTTTATTAAATGTCGATGGCTTTGGTTTATCTTGTGAAAACTTTGGAGGATGTTTCTTACTCTGGAGTGGAAAAAAGAGTAAAATAATCCGTTTGTAGTGTACTTTGGTAATTATGCCTCAATTTTACACTTTAGATTAATTCCACGGAAACCAAAAAAAAATCTTTTTCCTTAATAAATGTATGTTAAGAAATAAATCAGCACTGCAGTCACTCAGACTGTTAGTTCCTACTTCATWTCACTGTTTCTGTTTAACAGC